TCCATACTATCTCAAAGGTAAGAGATCCTTCATTTTAACTGCAGCAGTTATATTGGTATAAATGTCCCATAGCTTTTTTATCTACTCGTCTCCTGATGGGCACTCGGGCTGTTTCCAGATCTTAGCTTTTGTAAACTGTGCTGCTATGAACATAGGGCTGCCTACATTCTTTCTGATTGGTGTTTTAGGTTTCTTGGGATATATTCCTAAAAGTGGGATCACTGGTACAAACAGAAGTTCCATATTTAGTTTTTTGAGGAAACTCCACACTGTTTTCCATAATGGCTGCACCAGTCTGCATTCCCACCAGCAGTGTTCTAGGGTCCCCTTTCTCCACATTCATGCAGTCATTGAGATGTCACCTCACACCATTCTGACAGGTTTTAATTTGCATCTGATGATCAGTGACTGAGTATTTTTTCATGTCTCTTGGCATCTGTATGTTCACTTTGGAGAAGTGTCTGTTTAGGTCTTTTGCTCATTTTTTTTATTTTATTGGATTGGTGTCTTCCTTTTGTTAAGCTGTATGAGTTCCTTATATATTTTGGAGATTAACGCTTTTTCAGATGTGTCATTGTTCTCCCAGACAGTGGGCTCCCTTTTCATTTTGTTGGTTTCTTTTGCTGTGCAGAGCTTCTAATTTTGTTGCCTCACGTGTTTGTTTTCCCTTCCCTAGGAAATGTATCTATAAACATATTGCTATGAGAGATGTCTGAGATTTGCTGCCTATGGTTTCTTCTATGAAATGATGGTTTCTTGACTTATATTTAAGTCTTTTATCCATCTTGAGTTTATTCTTATGTATGGTATAAGATGGTGGTCTAGTTTCTTTTTTTTTTTTTTTTTGCATGGATGTGCCCAACTTTTCCAACATCATTTATTGAAGACTATCTTGTCTCCATTGTATGTTATTGCCTCCTTTGTCAAACATTGAGCATAATGGTTTGGGTTGATTTCTGGGGGGTCTGTTCTGTCCCATTGGTCATATGCCTGTTCTTGTGCCAGTACCATGCTGTTTTGATTGCGGAGGTTTTGTAGTGTAGCTTGATATCTGGTATTGTGATTCCTCCAACTTTGTTGTTCTTTCTTAAGATTGCTGCAGCCACTTGGGATTTTTTTTTGTTTCATATAAAATTTTGGAGTATTCTAGATCTGTGAAATATGCTGCTAAAATTTTAATAGGGATTGCATTGAATTTGTAGATTGTCTGGGATAGTATGGACATTTTAATGATGCTCATTCTACCAATATATAAAAATGGTGTATTCTTCCATTTGTTTATAGCTCCCTCTATCTCTTTTACCTCCTTGGTTAAGTTTACTCCTAAGTATCTTAATTTTTCTTGTTGCAATGGTAAATGGGATTGTTTTTCTTTCTGAGAATTCATTATTGGTGTATAAAAAAGCCATCGATTTTTGCGTGTTCATTTTGTTAGCCTGCTACATTGCCAAATTCATTTGTTAAATCTAGTAGTTTCTTGATGGAGTCTTTGGGGTTTTCTATGTACAATATTATCATCTGCAAATAATGAGTTTTACCTCCTCCTTTCCAATTTGGATGCCTTTTATTTCTTATTGTCTGGTTGCTGTGGCTAGGACTCCCAGCACTATGTTGAATAAGAGTGGTGACAGCGGACGTCCTTGTAGGAACTCAAGATTCTTGTGAAGTTGTTTCCAAAGACATCTTGTCTGTTATATTGGGGGGCAGGGAGGACCTGGGTTGGCAAATATGGGAAAATCAGAGAATGCTGGGAAAAAAGTGTCATGAGGTTCAAGGAAGAAGAACCTAAAGAAAAGTTCAGTGGTAATTGTGCAATTAAGTGTGATTTGCTGCCTTCCAAGTCTATTGGTTAGATGGGAATGAAATGACCAAATGGCTAGGCCTGTGGTAGACAGAGCCCAGAGATAGCTCCTGGGAGGACCTGGAGGGCAGGGCAGAGGCGGGGCTGGGGCCGCCTCTCACAGCCCCTGCGCTCCCGGAAGTCAGGGCTGTAGTGCTGTAGTCCGTGGAGGCCACACCTGCTCTCGGACACTGGTTTGATCTGACCCAAATCCTGGAGATGGCCTCACATTGTGGGCCTCCTAGATGGAAGGCAGGGTGAACGGCACTGAGGAAACCCTGTGGTCCTGCAGGGCAGCCAGCTTTCCCGCCTAACAGAGGTGGGAGGACAGCCCACGGCCTGGACTCACCCTCAGTAGGCAGGAAAGTGCCCCTTCTCCAAGCCCCGGACACTCCGTCTCTCCAGGTGGAGCCAGGGGCTGCCTGAGAACAGGGTGCGGCGCTCGGGGTTCCTGGCAGCAGACACGCAACCCTTCGCTGCGTTTAAAGCTGCCAGCTCACCCAGCACCATTTCAACAGATGGAGCAACACCCAGAGCGCCTCTGGTCCTTATGTGCCCCAAACATAAGCATGTCCTTAGCCCCCCACCTCCACCGCCCGGCTCAGCTGCGGTTTCTGTGTAACGGGTGCGGAAGGAAGCTTTGCTGGGACAGCCTCACCCTCATGTCCTCTGGCTTATTGTTCTTAAAAGGTCAAGCACGAGTCTTGTAGAAATTCTGGACTAAATTACAGTGTGGCAAGTGGTGCATTCTCTTTGAAATTCAAGACGAAGAAATATTCTGGATGCCAGCTATGAAGTAAATGGCCCGCCTCCTGAGAGGCCACGGGACCAGTACTTCCATCCCTGCATGGAAGCCCCGTGTGGGGCGGGTGTGGTGGAGGGGCTGTGAAAGCCACCCGGAGAGGTGGAATTCTGCAGGTAATTGTGACACTGTGGTGTATTTTCTTACCTGGGCTTTGGAATTTTGCCTATCAAGTCTCTGGGAAGAAGACAATTAAGGGGTGCTCTGATGGGGGAAGGGGTAATACCTGATGTACCTCACCTGCCTGACAGGCTCAGCTCCCAGGTGGTGCACTGAAATGGCACCTTCTGCAGGTGGGGATGGCCTTCTCCCCAAGGTCAGGTGCAGCCGGTGCTGGTGCCAGAAATGCCTCGGTCCGCTCCCACCTCCCCCAGGAAACCAACACGTGAAGCTTTCTACCAATTCAGATTCTTTATTTCTTTATTTACTTAGATGGAATGTATATGTTAGTCACGTATCGGGGAGACACATAAAAGCGGGATTTAAAAACTGACTGCAGCCTCATGGCACCCAGGGCCAGGCTCGGGCTCTGCCTACTCTGCTCTTGGAGTCACTGCTACAACCCCAAACCCCAGAGTCTCTTCCAGGTGAGGGAAGGGAACAGCGTCAAACAGTGACAATTTTTACAAGTGATTACTCAGGAATGCACAAAAGCCACAGTTCAGACAAATCAACTACAAAGATCGTTTAAAAAAAGAAGGGATGGGGAGGGGGGCCTGCTGATTAAAAACAGAGACTGGACAGGTGAGGCCACTCGAGGAGGGCTCTGCCTCCTGTGTGCGTGTGACCCCGAGGGGCACGGGGTGGGGCCGTGCAGGGCCTGATGGGATTGTTTCGGCAGGCACGGGGTCAGGGGGCCTTGCTCTCTCCCCACAGCAGAACCCAAACACTGCCAGACTGCCGGACAGGAGCCTGCAGTGCTCAGTGGGGCCCGTGTTCAGAAGCACAGGGGGCGCCACCCTCCAGCCTCAAGGCAGGACTGACCCACGCGCCTTCAGCAGTCAGAGTCAGCTCCTCCGACACCGGGTGTCCCACGGAGACGGCCTTAGCGCACCCACAGAACCTGGGCTTCCGCATTAGGTCACTTCTGAAGAGGCAGGACCGATGGGAGTCCACTCGTCAGCAGTGTGTGGGGCGAGGGAGGGTGAAAGGTCGTGTGAGGCCGCTGGCTCAGCATGTTCACAGGTACAGGCAGAGGGAGCCTCTAGAGCAAGCATGTCAAACTCGTAGCCCCTGGGGCGCATGCCTCGTAAACGAGTTTGACAAGCTTGCTCTAGAGGGAAGGGGGCTCTGGCCTGGGTGGCGGGGCCCGTGCTTCGAGGGAGCATGAACATCCGCTGACACGGGCCCAGAGCCAGGCTCAGAGGCTGACGGCTCTGACCACAGGCTCCTCAGCGTGAGGGGTAGACACGGGCTCCGCCTCACAGAACCTGCCCCTCCATGTCCAGCTGCGGTCCTGTCAGCCCTGAGACCCCGACAGGCAGGCAGGGAGGCCTCGGCTCCGTGACCTGCCCGCACGGACTTCTGAAGCGCACTTGAAAAATTACCTCGGAATCTAAATCTGTGCAATTACAGTTACCTGCAGCAACGGCCAGCAAGACTCAACTCTTACGGGCTCCTTTCAAACACTCCCTGCTCCCCTGCGTGTCCGTTAGGGGAGATCCGCCAGGCGGGGGAGTGCGGTGACCGCGTCACTGTCTGCCTCGTTCCTGCTGAGGCCCAGCAGAGGCTCTGCCCGGCCCCCCGCAGGCACGTCCTGGGAATGCTCCGGGAGGGGGGCAGCGGGGCTCGCCTGGGGACTGTCGCCCGCAGGGGCCTCGCCACGCCTCCCTCAGTGTCTCTAAGAAGCTCTGCTCCTTCCGGGGCCGCAGGGCTCTCCTGCTCTCACCCTCGCGGAGGAAAGTGAGAAACCGGACCACAGGGAGGATCTCGAAGGGGCGAGGGGCTTGCAGAATCCGCAAACGAGTCGACTGGAACCTAATCCGGACCTCGGGAGGCCAGGGCCGCACCCTGAGGGGCAGGACATGGAAACCCCCAAGCGGAAGTGATGAGGAACCGGGCTGCGGTGCCCAGGGACGGTTTCCGCGCTGGTGGGAAGGAGAGACCCTTTTCTCTCCCGTCTCTACCTCTTTGCTCGGGAAAAGAGGGGACCTGGTGAGACCGGGCCTGTATTCCCAAAGCAGGGCAAACAGGACCCCGAGGTCTCAGGGTCACCAGTTGTGGTTCCGTTAAAAAAAAAGAAAAAGAGGAGGAGGAGGAGAAATAAAAAAAAAAAAAAAGACCCCTTGACTAGCATGAGGAGGAATGCTGCCCTGCCTCGCTCGCCCGTGTGAAACGCCCGCACGTGGCCGGGCTGCACTATACGGGGCAGAGGTGGAAATTCTTTTCCTCCTGAGGTTTGCTTATCCAGTTCCCATAGCCCATGTCCTTGAGGCCTTTTTTGAAGTGGTTCTTGGCTACCTCGTATTCGCGGGCGGCTCTCTTGGCCTCGCCATAGGAGAGTTTAAGCAGATCCCTGCGGCCCCGGAAGGAGCAGAGCTTCTTAAATAGGAGGAAAATGTTCTTTTTGGAGACCCGGGACAGCTCATTCTGCGGCCTGGGGAGACAGAAGCGTCACTCAGCCGGGACGGACGGAAACGGAGGCCCGGGGCCGCCCGGCAGCTCGGGAGCCCGGAGGTCGGCAGCCACGCCGCCCCTCTCCTTACCCGTCCACCGTGCCCCTGGTGCCGTCCAGGATCTCCAGGTCGTAGCCGTCGGCCAGACACCAGTTGACGCTCGTCTCCTTGGTCTTCCCGGACTGCCTTTTGGAATCGTAGACGCTGACCCGGCCGACCTGGGAGAGAACTGACACCTCTCAGGAAAGGGTCTGCAGAGAACAGGTCTCTCAGAGGCCAAGGGCTGAGGGCTGGGACCTCGCCCCTCACTTATTAGGGTTCCACGTGACTGAAACTCTCGGCACACTAGCCCCACTTTGATGGAAGTTAATTCCAGACTAAGAGGAGAGGAGGAGAGCTGTTGGCATTCAAAGGCAGAAAAGGACAAGGACACCAGCTAAGGCGCCCCCCAGGCCACCCCGGACTGTTTGCTCGGCGAACAGATGGCGGGAAAGGAGAAAAGGCGAGGGAGAAGCGGACGGGGCTGTGGCACCTTGGGGTGGTTGACGACGAAGGGATAGCGCAGTCCGTTCTCAAACGCACTCCCGTCTCTTGTCAGACGACAGCAGATGGCACGGGTCAGATGCCCTTGGCTGAACAGGTAGCCTGGGTGGGGAAGAAAGGACACCTTTGGGCACCAGGAGTAACGGGAAAGGCTGTGGGCCGTGGAGACCGAGAAAGGCAGACACTGCGGTTTTGACTGCTGAGTTTCAGGGACTCATCTGGAAGAGGCCTGCCCGACAGGTCCCCCACCCGGGCTGGCTGCCTAAACCAGTCTTCCCTCCATGACAGATGGACGCGCAGAACCCATTACTGACTCAAACACACTCTGAAAAGTGGAGACATCGTGCTAACTCCTGGCAGCGGAGCATGTGGTGTGCTGAGATCAGGGCCCTTACCCAGTGTGACGGACTTGAGGTACACGGGCTGCAGGAAGTGGGTCAACAGCGCCCCTTGCAGGCCCAGCACGTTCCAGCGGAGGATTTTGTCGCTACAGGACATGGTGCGGAGCCTCTCCCCGAGCCGAATGCCGTCCCACGTGGGCACAATGTCACTGGACTCCACCGGGATCGTGCCTTCCCCTGCACGAGAGCTCGGTCAGGCCCACCGCGGCCAGGGTGCGCTCTGCGAGGGCCTGTCCGTTCCCGTGGCTGTAAGGGCGATGACTGGAGGCTGACTCCCACACTGTTCTTCCAGCCCAGCTCTGAGCGCGAGGGTGCCTCTGCCTCCTTCTGATCTCATCTTCCTGTGCCCATCCCCCCCTCGCCCCTGACCTGCCCTCTGCCTGCAAACAGGACCCTCCACCCCTGCACCGAGCTCTGCCCGTGCCCCGGGAGGAGCCCTCGTTGGGAGGCGGCGGGCGCTCACCGTTCTCCACCTTGGTGCGCAGCTTGCCCTGCTTGGGGTTCTCGAAGACGGGGTAGTGGCGGTCCGTGCTCTCCACCGCGCGGTCGCTGCAGGACTTGTCGAAGAGCGCGCCATCCCCGCACGGGGCCGTGCTGCGGACGGGACGCCGTCAGCACTCGCCCGCCGTGCAGTGCTCTCCCCCTCCCGGGCTCAGGGGCCGCCCCGTGAGGCGGGAGCTAGGGCTTCAGGGAAGCCTGTCACGGGAGACGGGGCGGGCGGGCAGTGTGGGTGGGAGACGCTCCATCCCAGGTCTGCACAGAGCGGAGGGGCCCGTGGAACCGGCTGTTCGGGACCAGGAGAGCATTCGGCACCCGCCTGCAGCCCGCCCGCCGGCGACGGGCACAGACCTGATGTAGAGGTGGAAGGACACCGTCTTCTTGATCTGGAGCTTCTTCCCGCCCTTCGCGAGCTCAAAGATGCTGTCGTTGGCCGTCTGGGGGTTGTACTTCATCAGCTCGCTGTAGAGAAACCTGCCGGAGGGCGGGTGGGTGAGCAGCTGGGAGCGGCTGCTTCTGTGATCCGACCTCCAGGAAGGAGGAGCCTAATCTGACCCTTCGGTGTCTCGGGCAGGAAGGCGCCGGGAACCCCGGGCCCGGCATTTCTCAGAGCCCAGCCAGCCTGTCGGTCAGGGTCCGGCCATCTCTGCGCCGAGCTCCCGCTCTGGCGGAGCAGCGGCTTCCCCGGGGCCGCCCCGTGGGTGGGAGGAGTGACTGAGGCGGCGGCCCGGCCGGGGCTGTGTGAAGGCCCTCACAGCAGAGCCGAGGACCAGGCCGTGGGTGCCTTTTTGAAAAGGCCGGAAGCAGGCGGGCGGCGTCCCGGCCGGTGCAGAGGCTCCGGCGCCCTCACCTGATGAAGCCCCGGCGGGAGATGATCTCAGCGTGGCAGTCGTTGACGGTCTCGCCCTTCAGGCTCAGGGAGTCCCCCTTCACACAGCGATTGCCTGGAAGGCAAGGGGGGGGGGGGCACTCACTCCCCGAGGACAGGACGACGACGAGGGGGCTGCTGTTCTCAGGGCCTCACTTATCCGACCCCGACGCCCACCTCCCTCCCCTGGGGATGGGCATCCCCCCCCCCCCCCCCCCCCCCCGGACGATCCGGAGCTAAACTGAGACATAATCGTCTGTTCCACCTGAAACTCGCCCGGGGACTGACAAGACACCCTTCAGGCACCGTGTGAGTGTGTGTGTGTGAGAGTGTGTGTGAGTGTGAGTGTGTGTGTGTGTGCGAGTGTGAGTGTGTGTGTGTGTGAGTGTGTGTGTGTGAGAGTGTGAGAGTGTGTGTGAGTGTGTGTGAGAGAGTGAGTGTGTGTGAGAGTGTGTGTGTGAGTGTGAGTGTGTGAGAGTGTGAGAGTGTGTGTGTGAGTGTGTGTGTGTGTGAGAGAGTGAGTGTGTGTGAGAGTGTGTGTGTGAGTGTGAGTGTGTGAGAGTGTGAGAGTGTGTGTGTGAGTGTGTGTGTGTGTGAGAGAGTGAGTGTGTGTGAGAGTGTGTGTGTGAGTGTGTGTGTGAGTGTGTGTGTGAGAGTGTGTGTGTGAGAGTGTGAGAGTGTGTGTGTGTGAGTGTGTGTGTGTGTGAGAGAGTGTGTGTGAGAGTGTGTGAGTGTGTGTGAGTGTGTGTGTGTGAGTGTGTGAGTGTGTGAGTGTGAGAGAGAGAGTGTGTGAGCCTCACTGACCCGTGCCCAGGCTGACCACGACTCCCAGGTCTCTGGTGTCCTTCTTCATGATGACGGCGGCGAGGATCTTGCGGCCCAGCAGGGAGGGCTGGAAGCTGTTGGTGAGCGCGTTGAAGCACCGGTGGCTCAGCATGGCTATCTGGTCGTGGAAGGTGCTGCCGGTGAGAGGGAGCTGCGGGGGCAGGAGGCCGAGTCAGGGCCCGGGCCGGTGCGGCCGCCACGCCTCCGGGGGCGGGAGCGCGCGCCCTCGGCTGCGAGCCGTCGGTCCCCTCGGGCCTGGTGCCCGTCCCCGTCTGGGAGGCTGACATGAAAGCCCAGGAGTAATCACGCACTGGCACCGAGAGCTAACTCCACCCGAAGGAGCTGGCTGGACCCCCAAAGAAGATAGCACAAAAGTAGACGTCTTAACTGTCTTTGGCTGTGCGTCTGGGGACCTCGAGAGGAGGAGCAAAGTTCTTCTGAGAGTGGCCCCCGCCACTGGGGTTACCTCTGTGAAACCCATGCGCTCGGCCTTCTCCTTCTCCCCAATCAGGACGCGGAGCGCGGCGTCCGCTGCCTCCTGCTTGCCTTGTTTCTTGCTGTGCGCGCAGACGGCTGGGAACCAGCGACCCCCAACTTTTGCTTGGTAAACAAACCTTCGAATGAGAGGTGGGGGACAAAGACAACAGCTGAACTTGCCGGCAGTTGTAGGAAACGCAGGTTTTGCTTAAGATACAGCCAACCTCAGGCCCCAGCCCGCCACCGCTCACTTGGACGGTCCTGGGTCCCAGTACGGCTTTTGCTAGATTCAGATATAACCTGACTATCACTTAGGCCAGAATGCCAAGTCCGTCTTGGACCAGGGAGCCAAACTTTCACAAGGAGCTGGTTTTCCATTCCTGGAAGCCTTGGGTTGGGGGGGGGGGGGGCGGAGAGCACCGTGGCCTGGGACCCTGCTTCCTGTAAAGGACCCAAGTAGAGCAGGGAGGCGGGCAGCACTGCTGCCGGCCCTGGGGCCCGCCCTTCCTGGGGGGGGGGGTGGTCACACACACAGAGGGAAGAGTAGGATGGGACAAAATGGCTGGAGCGCCTATCAGACCAGAGTTCAAGAATCCTAGCTTTCAAGCACCCTAATCTGCGGGTTGGGGACCTTGCTTTGGCCAATCCCACGGCACATGGGAAAGGCTTCGGGATGAGGCAGGGCAGCTCAGGTGCTAAGGGGAGCCGAGCTTCTCGCTATTCCGTGCTCATCCAAGGCACTGAACGCCGTCACCCTATTGTGCTGATGCCAGAGGTGCGTGCCGGGCGGAGGGCTGGAGTCCAGCGAAGGAGAGGGGGCGGGGTTGGCCATGCTGGGCCTCTGCCAGGGGGAGAATTTCACAACTGTTCATGTGTTTGCACATATATCATATATGTAACTACGATAAAATTTGTGAATTGTGCAGTTGGAATCCTTAGAGCCACACTGTCCGATATGGTAGATACTAGCCACAGGGAGCTGTTAACTCTGGTTAAAATTCAATGGGCTCAAGGCGGGGCGCCTAAGTCAGGCACAGGCATGTCCACAGGCTGGCGAGGCACCCGGCCTGGTGCCGAAGGAGGGAGGGCCCAGGCACAGGAAGGAGGAGGGATGCTTCCCGCAGGGGGTGCAGACAGACACACAGATGCAGGGAGGGGGGTGGAATTGCTGATGGTGAGGTGAAGTATTTGTCCTATGACTATTGCTATTTTCTCAATTAAGTGTGAATTAAGATCACCACTTTAGAGTGAGGAAGAGGGATTTCGGTGGAAATGTGAAGGAAGAGGCAAAGGTCTGAAATGGTTTTCGCGAGCAGGAAAGAAAACTCGGTGCAGCAGGAAAAAGGCTGAAGAGAATGGGGGTGGAGGCAAGTGGCAGCCCTGCACTTAGCACCTTTCAACGGCTTCCCACTGCTTGGATGGCAAAAGCACAATGCCTCCGGCCAAGGCCCTGTGGCTCCCCCGGGCCAGGCGCCCTGCGCTGTCTCCTCCGCCTGGAGCCCCCCACTTCTCTCTCAATCTCCCTCACCTCTCAGCGAAGCCCTCTCCCCTCTCCTGACTCCGTCAGGTCCTACACAGAGATTCTCATGCACATGCCACTCGCCTCCTTTGTCAGACACATGGAACGTGAGAGCTCACGTTACTTCACGTGACTACTGGTCACTACCTGGCTCCTGCACTAACAGATAAGATGTATCCACAAATAATGGCTGGATGACTAAGGGAGGGAGATCAGGTGGCTCCTGCCCTGGGTTACGAGAGAGAAGACAGTGCTTAGCCTAGAGGGTAACTGGAGCTGGAAAGACGAGGAAGGGATTTGGGATGGAAACGGTGAACATAACAAACAGAACTCCAGGGTGGGGAGCGGTGTCACCGACTGAGACGGAAAGGCCAAGGGCAGAGAGGGAGCAAAAATCAAGAAGAGTGCTGCTTCCGAGATGTCTGTCCAGAAGTGACATGCAAGCAGCTGGACCGAGGAGGCTGGAGCTCTGAAAGGTCTCCAGCATTTCGATGTTAAAAGTCATAGGCCACAGCCGGTTTGGCTCAGTGGATAGAGCGTCGGCCTGTGGGTTTGGTTCCAGTCAAGGTGCATGCCTTGATCCCCAGCCCGGTAGATGTATCTCTCACATTGATGTTTCCGTCTCTCCCCCATCCCTTCCACGCTCTCTAAAAGTCAATGGAAAACTAGCCTCGAGTGAGGATAAAAACTAACAAACAAAAAAGGTAAAAAATTAATGAAGTTTGCCAAGGAGGTTAGAAAGGAAAAAAATGAGGGCTCAGCATGATTCACAGTAAGGAGGAAGTAATGTGTGTTATTGTACCAGACGGTCAATAAATGAAGCTTCTAAATTAGTATTTCCCCTCGGTGCAACCTTCCGAGACTCCCCAGGGGCCACTGCCCAGTGTGCACCGTGGCCCCACAGTCCCTTGCATCCACCTCCAGCAAGCCCTGTGCTGTGCTTACGTGTCTGCGAACAGTCAGGGCACTTTTCGTATCTGTAATGTAGTTCACAATGAGTTCTCAGGTTGAGTAGATGAACTGATTTGAAGGCCTAGAAAGGACTGTGTGGAAAGTTTTACAGAAGAGGAAGAGGAAATGGACTAACCCTGACGCAGATGAGGAGGTAAAAGAACGAGGGGAGTGTGAGGGGTGTGAACGGGAGCCCGCCCCTCTCCTCTGAGGCGGTGACACACCCTAACTGCAGTGTGCCGAGGAGAGGACCTTTCCTGGCCCCCTCAAGGATGGCTGTTCTATAGCGGGGTGCACGCTGGTCAAACTACTAGGTTTGTTTTTTTTAAATCCCCACCCAAGGATATTTTTTTCCATTGATTTTCAAAGAGAATGGAAGGAGGGAGAGAGAAACATCCAAGTGAGAGATACATTGATTGGTTTTTCTCCTTTGATCTATTTATATGGTAAATTATGATAAATATCTGAATGTAGAATAACCTTTGCAATGCACTGACGTGCCATTTTTCACATTTTAGAATGGCAAAGATAAAAATGTTGATAATGCCATATTGGTCATGGTGTAGAGGAAAAGCCATTTTTATATATGGGGTGGGGCAAAAATAGGTTTGGAAATTATTCATATGGAAATAATATAACAATAAAATAATGATATAAGAAGAAACTGTACTCACAGCTATAATCCTACTTTTGCCCACTCTGTATTGTTAGTGTAAGCATAAACTAGTATAATTATCACTGGAGGAAAGTTTGGCAATATTTGCCAAAATTTTGTATGTACATAAACATGTTATTCATTGCAGCATCGTTTATAATAGCAAAATTTTGGAAACAGTCCAAGTAGTCATCAATAAGGACTGGTTAAACGAAGCATGATAAACCTGCGACATTGAAATACTGGATTTTGTAGCTATATACAAAGAATACAAAGTAACATGGAAACTCTTCAAGGTAATACTATTATAAAAAGCAAGCTGGAGATCAATACTTCTAATATGGAAGTACTATGGAAGGATACTATGGAAGGATACATAACAAAGTCATTACATGTGGGTGTGCTGGGTGGCTGTATTTGTGTGTAGGTGAGAGTTGGGCCAAAGGGAGAATGGGTGAGAATGAGCTTTATATTTTTATTTAGATTTTTTAAAAAATTTGGATAGTCTATTACCTATTAAAAAAAACTAAAAAAAAAAAAAAAGGTCCATGACCCATGTTTGCACATGTAAGCAGACATACAGTAGGACAGTTACTGCAGGAGTGTTTTTAACAGTAAGATCAAAACCAACCTAATGTCACTGGAAATTGGTTAAATAAATTATGTAAGACAGGTGCTTTGACAGTAGCAACATACTCTTTCTTAAATTAGGTCAACTGCATGGGTATCTGTTTTAGAAAAGACCTTTCATATCTCTGGTTTATTAACAGCGTCTATTCAATGAAATATTATGAAGCTGTGCAGGAGTCAGATCTATCCACGCTGATTTGTAATGATCTCTAAGACACACTGGTAAGAAAAGGAATCAAGGCATGGCACAGAAGATAAGTTATATACTTATTTTTAAAACAAAGAAAAACATGTTAATATATGCATGGAAATTTCTAGAGGGACCCAATAAGTTGGTAATAGTGTATGGCAGTGGTCGGCAAACTCAACCGAGCCAAATATCAACAGGACGACGACTGAAATTTCCTCTGAGAGCCACATGTTTTAAACTTAAATTCTTCTAACGCCACTTCTTCAAAATAGAATCGCCCAGGCCGTGGTATTTTGTGGAAGAGCCACACTCAAGGGGCCAAAGAGCCGCATGTGGCTCACGAGCCTCAGTTTGCTGACCACTGGTGTACGGGGAGTGTGGGGAGGGAACTAGAAGTCCGAGTTAGAAATAAGAACTTTCGTTGCATACTTTTTTAATCAGCTTTTGAGTGATTTTCTTGAAAATTAAAATTAGTTAAAAAAAATTAAAAAGCAAATGCAGATTATTATTTTCATACTCATTAGCAAAGTGACTATACTCTCAAGATGGCTGATCGCCTAGGGCAGGGGTGGGGAACCTTTTTCTGCCAAGGGCCATTTGGATATTTGTAACAGCGGGCCATACAAAATTATCAACTTAAAAATTACGTCGCTATGAAAAAAAGCTCCTAGGTTTATTAAATTTTGAGTTCCACTCATAACGGTTGCCTTGGCAGGGCCAAACCAGATGGTCCAGCCCATGGGCCACATGCTCCCCACCCCCGTTTGAGGGGGTCATGGAGACACGGCTGGACTTGTTTCCTACAACTCGCTCTCCCTGCTCTCACTCACGGCTGGTGCCATCCTTTCTCCCTGGGTTACAGGGGACCCCCCATTGGGTGAGAGACCCCCCGTGACACACGCCGTGGTCAGCACAGAAACACTCACTTGGGCTCGTGAGGAGGTCCGGACTGGTCAACCAGCTTGAACTCGGCAGCGAAGCCGTGGGAGCGGGCGTACTCCAACAGGCCGCCCACAGGGTTGGTGTTCAGGTATCGGACAAGCTCGCCGACCTTCCGAACCTTGTTGGGCATCATAGACTCCAAGTTCTCAAATGATTCTGTGCTGGCGTCTCCCGACTGGAAGAGAATCAGCCAAGTAAACGGTTAAGGAAGCCGAGCGACACCTGGGCGATCCTAAGCCGTCCTGCGGCTGAAGGTGACCGGTCTCTCGAGTCGGGAATGACCTCACCTGGTTATCAGAAGACGCCGAGTTGGTGGCCTCTTCGTGCAGGGCCTTCATGGCTTCCTCGGCAGCCATCTGCTTTGCTGCTTTCTTGCTGGGGGCACTCACGGTGGGGAAGGTATGGTTTCCCATGGCGACACAGTACTGGAACCTGGCAGGAGACGAGCGGGTTAAAATGCTTTGAGGGAAGGGGCTCACCTAGCCTTTGTCAGGCGGTCGTCCTTCAGGACTTGCATTTCCTTGCAGCAGTCACTTCTGCCTTGAAGAGCCGGTGCCTTTCTCCCTCCTCCTGCCCCCATCTCTCTGAGCCTGGCCACTCCTACTCCACATTTAGGTATCAGCCTAGTGTCGCCTCCTCCTCCTCTTGAGCACGTAAGTCTGCAGAGCCTCAGAGCAGGGCTTGTCAGGTGTGCCCAGGTCTCGTACCGGTTTGTCCCACCACCAGGACACCGCCAAGCCGCGCACCTCCCTAATGCTCGGTCCCTGCAGCGCCCTTTTGATTCCTAGTCCCAGATTCTCTGCTCCACAAGCAGCAACCTTGCCCTCACGGCCCCCCATCTTCCACACAGAACTGGCAGGAGTGACTGCTCCGTGAAATAGCTGCCATCGCGGAGGAGGCAAGGAAGAACGGCATCTCTCTCTTTTTTTGAGAAAAGCTCAGCAGAGAGACAGGATACAAGAGATGTACTTGGGGTCATGGGCAGGGCCTTCTCTGGACAGGAGGCGGAACTCGCAGGAGCTCCCCAGCTTGTGCACACACTCCAGTAGCGTGCTGACGGGGTTCTTCCCGGATAAGAACGACGCTGCTGAAGGGGTGGTGGGCTCGGACTCTGCCGTCTGCAGGAAACGAGAGAAGAAACAGCACAGACAGTGAGAAAACACCGGCTAGTCCATCACCGCAGAGGACACGGGGAGGGAGAATTTCTTTCGGTCACTACACATTCAGGGCTGGCTTCCAAAGGAAAAGGTGTGGGATTCTTTAAACATCACAGGAAAGGGTGAGCTAAAGGTTCTGGGGCTCTTAAAAAAGTTTTTTTTTTTTTTTTTTTTACTGATTTCAGAGGTGGGGGGAGGGAGGGAAAGAGAAACATCAATGATGGGAGGAATCATTATCAGCTGCCTCCTGCAAGCTCCCTACTGGGGATCAAGCCTACAACCCAGGCATGTGCCCTGACTGGGAATCCAACTGTGACCTCATAGGTCGATGCTCAACCCCCGAGTCACTGGCGAGTCTCCTGTCTTATCTGCGAGAGGAGATTGGACTGGTAACCTTTCATATCTCTTTCAACTACTGGTGAGGGGGGTGGCTGAGGGCACAGCAGGCAGCTGACTGAGACACAGCGTCAGTTGTGAGGCCGAGATGCCTCTAGAAAGCCAGCTGGAGCCCTGCTCCTTCACCGACAGGAAGGTAAGGGGTGCCCTGGCCGAGGGTGGACACCCACCTTCTCTGACTCTTTCTCGAGGGAAGGGTAGTAGGATTCTTCCGGCCTGCCGCTGTCCTTGGCTTTCGCCTCCTCCAGCAGAATGGTCATGGCCTTCGTGGCGGCATCTTGCTTGGCCACTTTCTTGCTGCCGGCTTCAGCTGGGGGGAACTCTCGGCCGCTGATGACAACTTGGAATTTAAATCTTGATGGAAAGTGATTAGATGTGTGAACACTAGTCTAGGTCTCCCTTCTGCCCTCTCCAAAGAGATCTGCACCTGCAATTCCTACTGCTCTGAGGGGCTTGTTGACTTGCGGAGACATGGAGGGCAGGCCAGGGACTCCTGTCCTTTGGGGGCTCAGCCTGTCCCTACTTTTCAGAAAAAAAGCAGCCAGCGACTCTCTCCCCACAGCTCATTAGAGCAAACAGCCACAGTTCAGGGACCCCCACGATCTCTCAGCAATGAACTGAGATAAAGTCGATAAAAATGAGGAGCTAGAGTCACCATTACAGTCTTGTTAGCAACCAAGCCTTCACCTAAAGCAGCCGCACAGACCGGCCACAGCAAGGGTAGCTCTAAGGCAAGCGAAGGCTCTTACGGTGCAGTCTCCCTCCCTAGACACCTGCGGGGACCAGAACACCTGTCCCTTCTCGGGGCCTGTTTCTGTTCCAGCCTACCCACAGGACACACCACTCTTATGGCTGGTTTTGAGTCGCTCTAAAGCTCTATGTGAAGCCTGGGATGAAAGGAATCTCCCTGTTATGTAGAAAATCAAAAAGCACTTGCTCTAGGCCTCTGGACTGAGCTTAGACTTCCTTTGTTCAAGCTTTTAAATTTGTTCAGCTCTTTGCTCAATCTGGGATTTCATTTAGAAAAAGTAGGTCAGATTCTTATTTCCTGGGTCTTCTGAAATATGTGACTATCGCATGAATGTTTCTTACAGCTGGAGGCCAAAAAAAAGGTTAGCCACCAACCCCACTGCTTGTCCCCAACCCCGGGGACAGGGACGGAGGACGAGAGCATGACGGCCAGCCAGGCCCTGTCACTTTGGACAGACACACCCCCTCTCCCTAACAGCTCTCCCGCAACGCCATCGCCGAGTCGGTAAGATGGGCACAGGGAGGGGGAATGGGGAAGCTGGGCATCCTGCCCCTAGCAAACCGCCTCGGTGAGCCTCTCCTGTCTGCCCCAACGGCTTCAGCTTTCTGCCGGGCCCTTCACAGCTCCCTCTGGGCCTGCCTGTTTCCCTCCATCTGCCCGCTGGCCTGCAGGAGCCGGCCAGCTGTCTGAGTGAGGTAACTTCTGGTTTCACAGCTCAGGAGCAGCAGCAAGTGTGGCCCGCCCGTCCGCACAGAGGTGTGTAAATCAGAACCCACCTCGCAGGCAGGCAGCGTGTGCGCTCTACCCCGTCCTTTCCCTGCGGAAAGGGGGCGAGGCGGCTGGAATCCACTGCTGCTGGCAGCACAAGCCGCCCTTGCTCTCGTGTGCAGCCTGCCCCCGCCCACCTGCTCCTGGACCTCCTGGGACTTACATGGGGAAGCGGGAATGGCCATGAGGAGGGGGGCAAGGGAGTCACGTCTTCCTTAATACCTCTCTCTGGCCTCAAGAGGCAGACGTGACACTGATGCATGAGAGCCAACCATTTCCCAAGAAGCTTTGACCTTCCCTTTGCTCAGCCAGGATGCTGGCTGGTCTGAGATCTACATTCCTCGCTCAAGATCTAGAGCAGGGGTGGGGAACGTCCGGCCCACGGGCCGTATAAGGCCCTCAAAACCATTTGGTCTGGCCCTGCCAAGGCAACCATGGGTGGGACTTGAAATTCAGTAAATCTAGGAGCTCTTTTCATAGCGACAAATTTATATTAAGTGAATTACATGAAGCAAATGATGCTATACATATCCAAATGCCTCTGGCAGACAGCAGGTTCCCCAGCCCTCATCTAGAGGAAGGGCCAGCAAGGGTGCGTTCGCTGGAGGGCAGAGAGGAGGAGGGAAAAGTCGGGGCCACCACACAGCACTGCTCATGAGTCAGCCACCTGTCAGGAGCAAGAGCGCCTGACCCAACCCTAGGCACGCAGAGTCCTGGGGTCTCTTACCGAGGTTCATGGGGCGGTCCGCTCTGCTCTAGGAGGTGGAACTCACAGGTCTGACTAGCGAACTGGGCATACTCTAACAGCCCGCTGATGGGGTTCTTCAGCTGGCACTCGGTCAGCTTCTTGTAGGGTGAGCACCGTGGCAAGCCATGGCTGTAGAAGGAGGGCATCTCCATGATGGCGCGGAACTCACCTGGGGCGGTGTGGATGCTATTCAGGTCATCTGGGATGTCATCGGTGGCCCACTGGCCATTCTCAAAGTCCACATACCCCGGCTTTGAGGGGCCATTGTCACAAACAGGTGGTTTCGGTTTCACGGGTTCTGGGGGGACCCGTGGACTACTTTCTGCCTTGACGACCGGCTCCTGTCCATTCTCCAGGCTTTCCGTGGCCGCTTCGTTTGAGGCAGCTGGCGCGGGTGAGTGACAGGCGGGAAGCTCTGCTTCTGTTTTGGGCTCGGGGACAGCAGCTTGAGCGGCTTCGGGAACGCTGTTCGTGCTCCTCTTCATCTGTATCCTCTCTCGCTTCTTGTCGGTCAGGAACCAGATGGGAGGCGTGGTCCCTTCCCGGTACACGTCCCCCTGCCTCTCCAGGTCAATCAGCACGGCATTGACATCGCGGGCTCTCGAGAGGCCGATGTTTTTAGCCAAATTCAGGGCGGAGGACTTGAACACGTCAAACAGGTGGTTGCAGATGTCTTCCTTGATCTCGGCCATGTCAAAAGGCTCAGGGGGCTCTTCGTCTTCCGAGTCGGACGCGGGGTTCCTGCTGGCGGGTTCCCAACTGGGACCTGAGCTTGGAGCTCCCTGGCTCCAACCGTCGGCTGTCACCACTCGGTTGTGCTGGTTCAGAGCCGGAGCGGAAGCTGCAAGTCTCCACAGAGGGGGCGTTCCCGCCTCCCTGCGCAGCGCACCCCTCTCTGCCAGGCGGTATAAGACGCGGTTGATCTCCTTCTTTTGGGCCTGGAGCTTGCGAGCCAGGTCATGTGCGGTGGCGGCCGTCCCCTCGCCTCGCTCCTGCAGGAGCTCTAGCACCCTCTGCTCCTGATCCCGGCTGATGCTCAGCGCCTGGAAACGCGAGGAGAGCCGGTCAACACCTCCCCATGGCAGGGCCCCGCAGCGCGGCGGAGGCGGCCGGAATCCCCGGTGGAAGGCTTGGCTTCGGGAAGGCACACCGCTCGGGACGCCCCAGACCTCGTGCGGCCAGCCTCTGGCAGGTGGTCCGGGAAACCTCGGCCAGGGTTCAAGCAGGAAGGGTGACGGTGGTGTCTGCTTTCCAACGAGGGGTGCTTCTGGGAGCTGCCCCTGGAGAAACGCTATTTGCTGAAGCTGGAAACTCTGAGGGTGAGGCCCGGGCCCTGGCTGCTGGTGTCTGCGCTGGCTGTGCTCATAGCCTTGAAATGGACCGGGGTAGTATCTGCCGGGAGAACACCCCTGCACAACAAGAAGGTGAAAAAGGAAGTGAGCCAGGACTGTGGGGGTGAGCCTGGCCCTCCTCCTGCGAGGGGAGAGGGGTGCTGCCCTGCTTTCCAGTGGCTGGGGACCCGGCCAGGATAGCTTGCCCACCTCAAAGCACTGCTGCTGACCCACCAGAGGTAAGCGAGGAGCAGGAAGTGAACGCAGAGCTCCCGGGAGCAGCACGGCAGTCCCAGCACCTGGCTCATTCTTTTCCCTTTGGCAGAATGTTAGAGAGCTGACAATGAATCTTCCACTCAGCAAAAACACTTACCCTTTAAAAATAAAAACCTTTTCTTTCCAAAAGAAACAAAAAGAGCCCTGGCTGGTTTGGCTCAGTGGATAGGGTGTGTCTGCCTGTGGGCTGAAGGGTCCCAGGTTTGATTTCAGCCAAGGGCACGTGCCTGCATTGAGGGCTTGATCCCCAGTAGGGTGTGTGCAGGAGGCAGCCAATCAATGATTCTCTCTCATCATTGTTGTTTCTCTCTCCCTTCCTCTCTAAAACCAATAAAATATATTAATAAAACAAAAAGAGAACAATAACCTGAAGTGCAAAGGGGCCAGGGGACCAGGGAATGGACTGCAGCACAGACCCCTTGTGTCTAAAATCTACCCTTTGGGTGATTAGAACAAAAAGTGATGTAAGTGGAAGCAGTCCTGTGAGGCTATGACAGAGATCCACCCCCCCTGGGGGGGGGGGGGAGTGGGAGCACACAGGTTCATCGGCTCCTCACTGCCAGAATCTGGTTTTAGGGCAGATGGAGGGTTCCTTAGAAAACAGACCATGTGCTCATACCTGGCATGGTGCTCAGGCTTGGAAGGGGCACTGGCACTAGTTTCTAACCAAACCACCAGCTCACCTGATGAGTGGAGCTGGCAGGACCATTCCTGAAGACCTCAGCCCCGCCCTCCCACACTCCCTTAGCTCCCTCCCAACCGTGTTTCCATGGTTCCTTCTGTGTCCTTCAGAACCCAGTTCCATGGGCACAGCCACACCATGTCCTCACCAACTGCCACCTTTCGGGCACTTGTGACCGCCTCCCCCTCCACACACAGGGCTCATCCTCTCCCCCTGGTGGGGTGGAGGTGGGAGATCCAGGGAGGGGCAGACAGAAAATACTTTGGTACCTTCCTCTGGGGCTTGCAGATGTGTGTGTGTGTGTATGTGTGTGGGGAAGAGGGAGGGAGAGAGTGGATGTGAGGTGGAGGGGGCAACAGCTGGGATCAATGCTTCCCCATGCTTGTCCCCTTGTCTGACTCTCCTGAAGGGTCAGGACCTGCAGGCCGGACCTTTTCAGTAACCACATCCTCTGTTGCAATCGGGGGATCTTAGCACCTTGCCAAGCCCCTCTCGGTCTCCTGGCTGTGGCGTTCCCCAATGACCACCACTCGCCTAGCTTCTCCCTCAGTCTCACTGTTACCCCAGCGGGGCCACCACCAAACCTCAAACCCTGAGACTCCTTCCAGGGGTCAGCAAACCTTTCCTGGAAAGGGTCAGACAGTCTTCATTTGTAGCACAAACCAGCCACACACAACTTGAAAACGGTTAGGACAAGGGTCTCAAGGTCTAGGATGCTCTAAATGTTATTCCTGCTGGATGTTAAAATGCAGCATAGCATTCTACAGCTATAACTGTAACCCGGAAGACCAGGGCACAGGAAAATCACTATGTCACGGACCAAACAGTGTGGCTAAGCCATGGCTGAGCCTTTCTTTGGGGAGGCAGAGCTTTGGATAGGAACCTGGCCTCCGTAACTGGCTGCAAGGAAACACCTGTGACAACCACTTCTGTGACACCCCTTGAATTCGGGAACACACTTCACTTACAAAACAAGCTGCACTTGCTGACCCTGCTCTTCACTGATGAGAACTTCCGTTTGCACAGCTTCCTCTCCTTGCTTATGGGACCCCACGGTGGCTGCAAGTCAGCCAGGCCCACTAAGCCCATCCTGGTGTGACACCCCCCCTCATCCAGCTTGGGTGCCATGGCCCGATTCCTTCTTCACCCGAAGCCCGAGGTCCCCTTTCCCTATTCCCTGGAGAAGGATGATGCCTCTTGCTAATGGGGCCATGATTCCTCCTCTTCAACGTCAGTTAGGTGGTCAGTTCAGTTCAACACGGTTCACTGCGGACTGAGCACTCTTGAGTTCTCCTCCTGTGGTGTGGGGACACAGCCCCAAAGCCGCCTCTCACCTTTTCCCCCATGTCTGCCCCTGTCCCCTCCTTCCATATGAGTCTCCAAGGTTTTAAGGGCCTCTTCTTCCTTCCCAGGCTGATTTCATCCACTCCCCTAAACAGCCTCTTCAGGGACTGTCAAATCTATTCCCTCCAGCCGCCACCTTGTCCTTGACTTTCCAAATACTAGAATAACCTGTTCACTTAGATATCCTACCGTGACCTCCAATGCCGCATATTCCAACCAAATTCACCTTTCCCCTCAAGCCAGCCCCTCTCCTGCTGATCTTATGACTGACAGTGGCACCTTCTGCTCTTGGTTATTCAGGTGAGAAACCTGAGTCATCTCTGCTGCCTGTCTGCCTTCCTCCATCTAAACATCAGGCAGCTGCCACGTCTCACCTTGTCTGCCACCTCTGCATTTTCCCTTAACTGTGTCACAGTTCCAGCCCCTCGGCACCTCTCACTGGGCTACGTAAGACAGGAACCTCTGACCTTCCCAGGCCTCTACATCCTAACCCTATGGGCCTGCTTCTCCCTCTCTGGCCACCTGTTACAAGTCCAACCTGTCCTCACAGATCTCCTTAGATGCTGCTCCCCAGGAGACTTCTTCTGACTTCCATCTCCCTCAGTTTCCCGTCTTTGAACTCCTTCACAGCACCTTTTACACTGCTAACTTTAGCTTTTATCAGAGCTATCGGTTTTTAAGTGACGCGCAGATTGTAGTACATCTGAAAGGCGATTAACAATGTTAGGTATTCTAGAAATTATGCTCGACTCCCCCCTCCTGATATTCCCCTGTGGTACTGAGGGGCGGCGGCAGCCGGCTCCACAGGAAGCTCCTGGGACAAGGACTGTGTGTCCGTTCTCTCTGCATTCCCAGCACCTCAGAGAGCTCCTGGCACAAAGCTGATCCCGAAACCTTTGTGGAATTAATGACCATGAACAAGACACCCCCAGACACACCGACCCTTCTCTTCTCGCTGCACACACTGCTTCCCCCAGCGCACTGCCAGGGCCAGGTGTGCGGGTACAGAGCGGGAGTCGGGCTCACAAAAGCTGAGTTATGGGCGTTTCAGCACTTCCTCGTTTGGTTCTTGGACTGACCTTGGTAAAATAACTGCTTCAAAATGGCTCAAGTCAGTTCCTAGCCAAATGTTTTCTAGGTCTACACTGCTTCTACTTGGCCAAAGTCTGTAAAACCATTTAATGTCCATCTACATAAGAAGAGGAGAGTAAATTATGACACGTTCATGCTATGGAAGAGTACTCACAAAAAAAAAAAAAAAAAAAAAAAGTGTTGTGATCTATTTGTATTTTCACTGGAGGAAATTTAGGCATGACAAAATGTTAAATTAACCAACAAAAAAAGGCAAGCTGCAGAGAACATGCATGCTAGAACGCCCCGTTTTGTAAACACAAGACACATCCATGAATATGTGCGTGGGTGTGTGTGCACATGTTAGAATGAGTACAGAAAAAAGGATACATAAATTTGTGAACAATGGCTATTTTAGGGAAAGATTAGAGGGAGATTATGTTTTCTTACTCGCCAAACTACCACTTGAGAACAGCCATTTGCAGAACCTGAATGGGAGCGAGAGCAAGAAAGTGGGAAAGCACCTCAGGCGGACCATTCTGAAATCCCTCCATCGCCAAGCACCCATTGTGGTCTATGCATTAGGAAAACCATGTAACAAGCCATTTAACATCCACTGCCCTACACAACTGCACTTCAATCCAGTCTCGTCTGCTTAGGATCAAGAGAAGAGGCCCCATCTTTACTACATGGGCTCCATAAAAAATATATTGATATGTGCAAAAAACTGCTTTTCCTTAAGTGCCTAATTCTTTTAAAGAAAATATAAATTAAAAAGATATATATGAATATACATGTTCATGTGTGTGTATATATTATATACACACACATATGATCATGGTTATAGTTATAAGGTCCTATGTGTTTTGACTTTATGTAGTCAAAACTCAGAATTATATACTAAAAAGGGTAAGTTTTACTGTGTAAATTTGCCTCTACTTTTAAGATATATATAAAATACATATACACACATGTATGTACATACTCAAGGTGGGCAAAAGTAGGCTTACAGTTGTAAAACAAATAAGTAATACAACTCTCTATCCCTCTCTCCTCTCTGTAAAAAATCAATAAAAGTATATTTAAAAAAAAAAAAAAAAGATTAAAGCCTGGCTGGCGTTGCTTAGTGGTTGAGCACTGACCCATGAACTAAGAGGTCATTGGTTGGCTTCCTAGCCGGGGCACATGCCCGGGTTGCAGGATCGATCCCTGGTTGGGGGCCTGCAGAAGGCAGCTGTATTGTTTCTCTCTCATTATCCCTCTCCCTTCCTTCCTCTCTCTAAAATCAATAAAAGCAGTAAGCCCTGGCTGGTATGGCTCAGTGAATAGAGCCTCAGCCCTGAGACAGAAGGGTTCCAGGTTCAATTCCATCGAGGGCCAATGCTCTATCCACTGAGTCAAACTGCTATGGCTGTCCTTTTATCTTTGTGGTTTTCTCCTCAGAGTAAAGGGAAAGGGACATACAGTATATATACATTCTTTGCTTAGCACAGTGCATTTGCGATTCACCTATACTGCTGCCTGTATCAGCCCTTCCCTCCTGTTTTGGCCAAGCAGCAGTCCACTATGTGGAAGCATCCCACTTGTGTCATCACCTGTTGAAGGACATTTGGTTTTCCAGTTTTTAGTGACAATAATAAAGCTGCTATTAACTTCCTCCTACAGGTGAAGGGTGGTTTTTCATTTCCCAAACGCCTTCAGGAGGTCCGAGGTGCAAGCAGAAAGCGGGGTCGGCTTTGCCTTGCTCTGGGCTCCGGCCGTGCTCTCAGCCCACGTGCCTGTCTCCCAACAAACCCCTTTCTCCTGCTGCTCCCACGGCAGCTACTCACCACGACAGAAAGGTGTCGTCAGCCATTCTGCCCGGTGAGCGAACACACACACACACACACACACACACACACACACACACGCCGTGAACTCGGCCCGCCCTTACCTGCCTCAGGTCCATGGCGCCCCCCGAGGCATGTCCAGCAGCGCGACCCTCCCCGGGTGGCCGTGGGGTTCCAGGGTCCGCCTTCTGCTCGAGGCTTCGCGGGCGGACGTGCGGGGGGGCGTCCGGGGAGCCCAGACAGGAAGCGCTCCTGGGCGGGGAGGGTGAGCGGGGCTGTGAAATGGCTCCGGTTCAATTTCGCTTTCGTTTCCCCAGAAGGACGGCCCTTTCGGAAAGTTTGGTCGGGGGCGGGGCTTGGGCGGCTCGAGGGGCGGGGCTTGGGCAGCGCGGCCTGGCGCTGGAGCTGCAGGTTTCCCAGGGATCACAGCCTAACGCCTCCTCCCAGAACTGGGCAGGGTGCTCTTTCGTTAGGAAAACGGCTAAATATCGAGCTCATGATGCCTCTCCCCACCCTCTCTGGCCTCCAAGAGATAAAGCAAAGGCAGCAGGCAAGAGGCGGGCGAAGTTCAAGTGGCTGACATCCCTGCGGTGCACGCCTTACTGCTACTTCTTGAATATTATAAACCGGCACGAACAGGAGAGAGCAAGCTGCTATAGACTTTCTCCTGCGGGCAAATCGGTGGTTCAGAAGGAAGCCCCTCCATGCATACCCCTTTAATCTCACAGCAGTGCTGCGGGGCAGGCATGATTCCTGTTAAAGAGTCCAGGGCCTTCAGGTCTGACCTTGGAAAAGGCACCGTCACACTCGCTCGGGTTCTTTCTTTCTTTTAGAAAAAAATATATTTTATTGATTTTTCACAGAGATGAAGAGAGAGGGATAGAAAGTTAGAAACATCGATGAGAGAGAATCATCGATCAGCTTTTGCACGCCCCCTACTGGGGTTGTGCCCGCAACCAAGGTACATGCCCTTGACCGGAATCGAACCCGGGACCCTTCAGTCCGCAGGCCGACGCTCTATCCACTGAGTCAAACCGGTCCCGGCTCGCTCGGGTTCTTTCTAAAAGACCACCCTGTTAGCTAGCGGAATAATTCAACTGATTTCATGATCACACTTATGCACCTGCTCTCCTTTGTTCAAATTCTATAGCTCAATTCCAGTGCTCAGCAAAGCCCCACCTGTGAAAAATCTATTTTCTATGTTTAATTTTATCCCCACTACTTTTGAGATTTACAAGGCAGTCCCTTTACAGCATTATCACCAGCAGATGCCCTTTTCCATTGTCCTCTTTTGTTTAAAAAAAATTATATATATATATATATATATATATATATATAAATTTTTATTGATTTCAGAGAGGAAGAGAGAAGAGAAAGAAACATCAAGGATAGGAATCATTGACCATCCATCTCCTCTATGCTCTCTCCTCGGGATGGAACTGTAACCTCCTGGTTCATAAGTTGAGGCTCACCCACTGAGCCAGGCTGTATATCTGCCTTTAGAGCTGTATAGTCTTTTCTGGGCAGAGAATATGTGTCACATTCCCACATCCCCAGCATGTGACTTTCTAAATAAACTTCCTCTTATAATTTGAGTTTTTTGGTTCTGAATTCTTTCTTTGCTGAACTCAAGTACCGAGTTCTGGTACCATTCTGGTGTCATTTCACCACTAACAACTGAAATGTTTATCAAAAATAAAATGCATAAATGGTGGCAAATGTCTATGATGGAATCCTACATAATAAAAGGCTAATATGCAAATAGAACGAATAGCGGAAAACTGAATAACTGGTCGCTATGACGGGTGCTGACCACCAGGGGGCATGCACAAAACGTGGCGGGCGTTGGCCGCAATGGGATGGTGGAGCAGGTGAGCAAGGCACCAGACCAAGACGGGGCACTGGTGGCTGTCATTAGGTGAGCCTCTGGTGGTGATTGCAAATTCTCTGCTCCCACACACTGCGTTCTCACCGCCACGGAGCCGCCATCACACCCGCTGCCGATGCCCGGTGCTGGCCCTAGTCTGGCACCGGGGTGCGAGCGGCAGCTGCTGGCCCCAATCATCCCTCAGGGGTTCTCCACCGCCCCCTGTTCCTGAGAGGCAATTAGGGCTGGCAGCCACCGTTCGCACCCACAGCCGGTGCCAGACCATCAGTTACACCCACTGCCAGCTGCCAGCCCTGATGGCCCCTGAGGGCTTCTTTAACCCCTCCCCCACACTCCTGAGGGGTGATTGGGGCAGCAGCTGCTCCTTGCACCCATTGATGGGAGCAATTGGGGCTGGCACCAGCAGTGGGTGTGACTGGGGCTGGCGCCATCAGTGCGTGGGAGTGGCGGGAGAGGCTGAGTGGTGGTGTGGAGGATGGGCAGAGACACACCCGTGCCCACTGCAGCCTCATGGCCCACAGTTCCTGTCAAGGTGCATGAATTTGTGCACTGGGCCCCTAGTATTACATAGCAACAAAAATGGAAGAACTAGAACCACCTGGAACAAAATGAGTAATCATCTAAACATGATATGGGGAGAAATCATAGATATATTATATGATTCCATTTACATAAAGGTCCCAAACCTTTATGGCAAAATTAAACTACAGTCTGCTCTGCATAAAAGACAGGATGGCCGAAGCCGGTTTGGCTCAGCGGTAGAGCATTAGTCTGCGGACTGAAGAGTCCCAGGTTCGATTCCCATTAAGGGCATGTACATTGGTTGCGGGCACATCCCCGGTAGGGGGTGTGCAAGAGGCAGCTGGTCGATGTTTTTCTCTCATCGGCGTTTCTAACTCTCTATTTCTCTCCCTTCCTCTCTGTAAAAAATCAATAAAATATCTATTTAAAAAAAAGACAGGATGGTTACTGGAGGGAGGAAGGAGCAGGGGTTTGATTGGGAAGGAATATGCTGGGTGCTGGTGATGTTTTAGCTCTTGACTTGGGTGGTGATTACATCTATGGTTGCTTTCCAGTCATATACATATGCTCTAAGCTGTACGTCACAATTTTATAAGGCGAAAAACAAGAACCCTCATTACAACCATTCTAGTCTCTGTTCCCACCTGCTATTTTTCATGTAAGTCAAATGAGTTATGTCTTGCCTTTCCTTCCTTGCCTCAGGGCTAAACAATTCCACAGCCCTTAATCCTCCTATAAGAATGTTCCAGAAAAGTCTTAATCACTGCTGCTGTGCACTGCTGCTGCCCCCATCCCTTCTAAGCAGATGGAAAATTTGTTTCCTAAGCAGAGGGTCAGATTGTTCCTTGAAAGAACAACTTCTCTTGTCATTTAATCTTAGCAGCTCAAGTAGCTGTGGACAGTCTTATTCATAAACATTTCATCCACCCCAACCCCGTGATTGTTCCAGCTCCCACAGGGTGGGGAAGGAGTGACATAGACCTTTGTGCTGTTCTACTGGAGGGACTTGAAGCATCAGGTGAAGCTCTTTACACCACAAGTAACAGGATGATTAGAGAAAACTTCAGAAAATACAGACAAGCAGTCAAAGTGATCCCTGCTCCTTCCCTGTCGCTCATCTGGGCCTCCCCTTCCTGCGTTCCCGTGCCCAGCGGCACCAGGTGCTCCTTTCCGGACACACCGACCCACTGACCCCACCCAACCTGACCGGTGCTCACCTCCGAGGGGGAGTGTCCCGCTGTGAGGGAACCGAGGGCTGTTTACCAACACCACCACATGGCTGAGCGTCCCCATGAGGGGGGCACAAAAAGCCCCTCCCTGGCAATCAGGCTTTCGCAAAGCACTGCGCTCGGGCCCTGGACTCCCTCAGTACGGAGGACGACTTCATCTGGCTACTGAGCTGGTTTTAGTTTCCAATTCCTGCTATTCTCGCCTCTTCACTATAAATAACTGCTGGTCTGGCTTGTTGTGGCTCTTCTGTTTAATCGCACTGTGTGCAGGATGAGGATCTACAAGTCTTTTCCGTCTACAATTTCCTATAACCAGACTCCTGCACATATGGGCCACGTCCAATTGGATCCTCTTATCACCCTATGGTAACGCAGATGTCTGCAAACTCCTTCAACATTTGCTCGTATAGCGATCCTGCAACAGAAATGTAGTGCCTGCGAATGGTGCTACTAACTTGCAACATATCAAAAAAAGAAAAAAATAACTTATTTTTAATTACTAGGCCATTGTTTTTAGAAAGGGTATGCACATAAACAAACTCATGTTCTTATCCTGTATCCTAGGAAATACATAATAAGCAATTTGTAGAGTTGCGAGGACAAATTTAATGGCTTCCTTTTTTGTTGTTTCTCTTCGCTTCTTGATCATTGGGTTTTTATTCCACTGCAACAGTTACTGCTACATCAATATGATTTCAAAGTCCCAGGGCCTCCCCGCAGTAACCCATCTGCTTTGAGAGACTGGGAGGCTTTCTGCAGACAGACTAGTGAGCTGCCTAATTGGCTGAGCAGGGCTCCACAGATGTAGTTATGCTGATATGTACACTCTACTGATGCTAATGATCAGACCAGCGTTCTTTTTAGACTGGCTTTTGAAGTTACAGGAAACAAGAGATGCCTCAGGTATCCTGAAAGAAACATGATTCCAAAAGTGGCTAAGTGCCCTTCCCCCAAGTTATCTGTAAATGAAGAAGGAAAGTGGTATTTTATAATTACCTATAGGCACCGGGCATTGTGACAGTAGGTATCTATAATATCTATAATAATAAAGGGCAATATGCTAATTAGACCAGATGACCTTCTGGACAAAGCGGGGGCCCGAGAGGGAAGCCTGGGTCCTGGGTGCCTGCCAGTGGCCAGAGGGAAGCCGGTCCCGGCAGCAGGGGAAGGAAGGCCTACTCTTGCATGAATTTCGTGCATCGGACCTCTACTTATTAATATCAAGGCTATCATATTATCAATAATGTCAAAACAATACTACTAACAATGGCTAACAGGCCTCTGCTGAATATTTTACGTGTAAGTTTAAACAGTTAATGTACACTTAGCCTCATAACAACCCCACAAGATGATCCTGCAACTTGTGGTTTTATGCATTAAGCCCTGACACCCTTCGCCCGCCCTCCTATGCTAGGCTGGTCTGGCCTATCCCACTGACTGTCCTCCAGTTTGACTCTGAGCAGCACAGAGAGGTTCTGCT